ATGGTGGACGAATTTCTGAATTCTCTTGATTATATGTTACATTACATTGAGCATAAGGTGTTTTAATAGCTAAAAAATAAAATATTTATTAGAATTTCGAACTTTATATGAATATTTCTTCTTCTTTTTTTTTCATACCATATTTACTTTTTTTCTGAATAAAATTATTCCAATTATAATTATTTGATATTTGTTCTGGTGAAAATGTTTTTGGTCGACTTAATCGTTCTAAATTAGCAGGTGTTGGTGGTGCAGGACAATGTTTCTTTTCTATTCCTGTTGATGGTCGTGGTTCAGATGATCGTGGTCGAGTTAATTGTTGATGTGTATAGGATGAATGTGGTCGATTGAATGTTTCTTGTCGTCGATTAGCTTCTTTTAAACAAGCAACACATGGAAGAAATTCACGTGTTTCTTGTAACTGTGGAAGAGAACGTTCACTTTTAACACGAAATATATGTGGTTCTTCGAAAACAAGACGAGATCGAGTTGATGATGAACGTTTAGATTGATCTTTTTTTTCTGGTATAATTTGTTTTGATTGTTTTTTTGACATGATCTCGAAAACAAAATAGTACAATTAAAATAGATGTTAAATTTTTAAATAAACCATTTGATAAAATACCTTATGAACATCAATAAAAACCACAAAAAAAAAGATGAAAAGTTTTCATTTTCTTTTTGTATAAAATATCGTATCGTTTCTGCGAGCAACCTAGAGGAAAGTTACACATTGGTATAGGTGTCACTAGTTAATAGAGCCCTGTGTTTGGAACCGAGAACTGGATTTTTCTGTTTCTCCTACCCGAACCCAAAATTTTTCTTGAGGGTGAGAATTTCAAAATGTGTAGATGCTGCAAGATGCACATTATATCAGTACCCCTCTTCGTTTATCCATGAAAAGTTTTCATAGTAATCCTGGTTTTCAAGAAAAAGTTCTAAAGTCAGTTAAAATGGAAATTATTAAACGGCAGACAACAATACTATCTACTACTCCATCATCTGTTCATACAAATTCACTTGATTTTCAATCGACAACATCAAAAGGTCTTCTGTCATACTGTTTTCATATACCACAAAATTTCTTAACGTTGTCAACAACGCTATATGAATTAGATGAATATATGCCATCAAATGTCCCACTCAATGGACATGATGATGTTTTATGATTCCATGACAACAGAATTTAAAATTACCAATCGTATTTTCTATAGCTGAAGATTTTTATGCTGTACAAACATCGAACATCATTGTAGAAGGACTGTTCTTGTCTGCAAAAAACACAAATATCGATAAGCACATCGATCTTGGTTCAGAAAAATATTTCTATTATTATTTTTTCAGAAAAATTTAGCATTATTAAAATCATATGATGAGAAAAATCGATGAAGTTGATAGAACTGAAACGAAAAGAAAGATGTTTGAACAAGCATCTTCTACAATCTCCTGTCTAAACTAAATAACAATCTACAACTATGACAATAAAAAGACGTTTAGAATGAATAACGAAGATGATATTGTTCTTTGTGATCATGATCATTGTGAGGATAAGGAAATGATGAAGCAGGGATTTTTTAGAACTTGAAATATTAAGATTTCATATGAATATATTGTATGTTAGTGTTTTATCTCATTATTTGACTTTTTCTTCTATCTTTTGAAGGAGCTACTTATTTGATGAAATAATAAACATGAAGAGTCTCGAAGATAAAATGTAGAAATTTCTAAAAAAAACTCAATTACTCGGTATTTTGTATGTTATGATGAAAACGTCGGTTCCTAACAAAAATTTTAGGAACCGCTTTTTTTTTCGATTTTGCTAACCGAAACCGCAGGGCTCTACTAGTTAACATATACAGGGTATCCAAAAAGTCGTTTCCACTTAAGAATTGCATATAACTCGGTTATTAATCAACCTTAATCTAATAATTGTTTTTTTGTTTGAAAGAGAAGAGCAGTAAGTTCTTTTTTCATAAAGACAAAGTTGATAAATATTCTTCAAAAGTAATACATTTGACTTCAATACAAAAAATTTACATATTTTACAATTAAACAACAAAAATCATGGAGCATTTTATTTTTATTATATCGATTTCTATAGTTATTCGAATCTTTGAATCATAGAGATTTTTACGATTATATTGTAGACATTTGGTTTGAGACAGACTCATAGATAGAATTTCAATGGTATAAAGTTTAATTATTGAAGAGTCCATGATATTGATTCACCTCTTCCGATCTGCTATCAGTGATCAAACACTAATTCAAGAGAATTATTTCGCAATGCTTCGGAATTTCTTTTGTCTGATTTTATAGAAGATACATTTGAGTAACTCCATCATATTTTCAGCAAGATAGAGCATTAGCCCGTTTCTCCAAATCGATTCATGTGTGACTGAACGAAATTTTCTATGGCAGATGAGTCAGAATATGTGTGTATCAACATCAAGAACCTCTTGATCACTAAACATCACATCATTGGACTTGTATCTATGAGTCTGTCTCAAACCAAATGTCTACAATATAATCGTAAAAATCTCTATGATTCAAAGATTCGAATAACTATAGAAATCGATATAATAAAAATAAAATGCTCCATGATTTTTGTTGTTTAATTGTAAAA